GCTACAGCCATGATAAAGGCAACCCCTACAGAAGCCCAAGACCCTTGTTGCAAAAGTGACTCTGCTCACCAGGAATTCACACTTCAGTGAGAACCCAAATGCTAAAGAACAAATGAAGTAACACTTAGTATGCAACCTGGCCGGCTTCACCTACTCCTTAACATTAATTTATCTGCCATAACTTACTTCATCATTTCAAAAAGCAGATTTTAGAGACATTTCAGTCCAGATGCTACAGGAAAATCTTAAACTATTAAGGGACATTTTTTCACATTCTTCCCATTGTAATTTCTCCAATGTGAGATCTGAGCTAGGAAGGGTTAAGTTGCAAACGGATTTTTTTAGCATCCAGAAGTGATGACTTTAAAGGAAAGCGTATTGCAGTTGCTCAAAGTCAAAAAGTGGAATCTTATGAAGGTCATTGCTAGGATTCATACTTTTTTGAGATTTGAGTAGCGCTAGAAATGTTTGTGCTATAAGACTCAGTTCAGAGGCTACCAAAAAGCAGGTACAGCTTCCACCACCTTCATTAAGCCTGGAGAAGATCTATAGCATATTGCTGTTTGAAGTTTTGTCAGCATAAGTTGAGATTTCTCTGGTTACTCAGGAAGTCGGTGGGCTCTATTTCTCTTGCTAGATGTTTGGAAAGGATGCAGCACAATGATCTAAAGCTACGTTCTTCTTCACAAGAATAACAATAATGGAAATATTCAGAGGGCTCAGTGCAATGACCTAATGACTCAGTGACTCGTAAATATTAGAAAATATCTCAGGAACAACGGTGCTAATGGAAGTGAGGGTGGCTCCACTCTCTGCCTTGAGATCACACACTTTTCCTGAGCAGACACGATACATAAATATTAGATCTGAGGACATAGCCTTCTGCAAAAACCTCTGAGAATGCAACATAACTAACGTGATCTCTTCTTCCTGAACTTTACCAACTGCAGTCAGCAAACAAGACAACGAGATCACAACTGCAACAACAAGACTGCCACTGCAGAAGGCAGAGCCAAAATACAGTTCAGCACAGTGAGCAAAGACAGTGATTTGGTATGGACTGAGCACAAGAATAGTGTACACAGGAAGACCCAGTGACCAGACCTCAGCTACTAACTTGCAGACTTTTAAATTATTATTTTTTTAAAATACAAAATATTTATTAATAAAGTATAATTTGAAGAGGAGAGGAAACACATACTGAGAAAATAACCGGATTCCTTACTTTCAGCTTTAAGTCAACGTTACCAGATTTCTTGAGTTTATATGGCATGCTCATTTAGACAATACAACACAGGTAGGAGAATTTCTTCCCTCAATGGAAGGAAGGGTTCTTTAATCCCTTAAACTATCTGCCTCACGGTGACAGCAAGCAGGAGAACTATGCCTTCAAATTATGGACCAAGAGAGCGTGAGCTGGAGATCAGGAGGGAGCTTAACAAGAGAAGTTGCCAGCAATTGGTGAAAGGTCAGGAATTTCACAGTAGAGCCCTAACACATCAGTGTAAAAAGAGTCCTAGAACAGGACAATCAAGAAAAGAAAGCCAGGAGATTTTAAGATGAGACTCTTACAGGTCACTTGTCACTACACAGCCTATGTCTTTAATCTGAATTAGATTTACACGGTACTTCTGTACAGACTTCTGTTGACACCATTTGCTCTGTGCAGACTGAAGGTCAGAAGATACATATGATTAGTATTTAAAGACTTTTTAAAAAGTATGGCTACTGAATTCAAAGATCTTTTTATCATACAACAGAAGAAAAAACAAATGCCATTCTGTAGTAACATCCTTTACAGGCCTGGAATTCTAATTTCTTCTACAGTGAAATGATGTACATACTACAATTTCAGCTACTGGAAAATAATCTCTGCTTTTCTTACTTGTACAGAGATAGCACTAAATATTAACATGGGTATTCTTACTGTTTCTAGGAGAAGGCTAATTTTTTATGCATTCACTGCTATGAAAGACAATCTTCCAACAAATGGAGTCAATAAATACGTTAAAGCTGAAGTGATTATATGTACAGTGACTGTGAAATGCAACTGCAGTCAGCAAACAAGACAACGAGATCACAACTGCAACAACAAGACTGCCACTGCAGAAGGCAGAGCCAAAATACAGTTCAGCACAGTGGGCAAAGACAGTGATTTGGTATGGACTGAGCACAAGAATAGTGTACACAGGAAGACCCAGTGACCAGACCTCAGCTACTAACTTGCAGACTTTTAAATTATTATTTTTTTAAAATACAAAATATTTATTAATAAAGTATAATTTGAAGAGGAGAGGAAACACATACTGAGAAAATAACCGGATTCCTTACTTTCAGCTTTAAGTCAACGTTACCAGATTTCTTGAGTTTATATGGCATGCTCATTTAGACAATACAACACAGGTAGGAGAATTTCTTCCCTCAGTAGAAGGAAGGGTTCTTTAATCCCTTAAACTATCTGCCTCCCGGTGACAGCAAGCAGGAGAACTATGCCTTCAAATTATGGACCAAGAGAGCGTGAGCTGGAGATCAGGAGGGAGCTTAACAAGAGAAGTTGCCAGCAATTGGTGAAAGGTCAGGAATTTCACAGTAGAGCCCTAACACATCAGTGTAAAAAGAGTCCTAGAACAGGACAATCAAGAAAAGAAAGCCAGGAGATTTTAAGATGAGACTCTTACAGGTCACTTGTCACTACACAGCCTATGTCTTTAATCTGAATTAGATTTACACGGTACTTCTGTACAGACTTCTGTTGACACCATTTGCTCTGTGCAGACTGAAGGTCAGAAGATACATATGATTAGTATTTAAAGACTTTTTAAAAAGTATGGCTACTGAATTCAAAGATCTTTTTATCATACAACAGAAGAAAAAACAAATGCCATTCTGTAGTAACATCCTTTACAGGCCTGGAATTCTAATTTCTTCTACAGTGAAATGATGTACATACTAGAATTTCAGCTACTGGAAAATAATCTCTGCTTTTCTTACTTGTACAGAGATAGCACTAAATATTAACATGGGTATTCTTACTGTTTCTAGGAGAAGGCTAATTTTTTATGCATTCACTGCTATGAAAGACAATCTTCCAACAAATGGAGTCAATAAATACGTTAAAGCTGAAGTGATTATATGTACAGTGACTGTGAAATGTGACTTTTACTTGCAGTCTTTCATGCTACCTTAACTGATCTCAGGTATGAGAAAACTTGGTTAAATCAATGCAAATGAGATTTAAACTAATAACAGCCTACTTGTTAGTATTTTAAACTGCTGAACTGAAATATGGACACTACACACCAAGCTACTAGTTTAACCATACCATTTAAATTACACCCTTAATTAAATAAGTAATTTTTTGGCAGAGATTCAGACAAATTATTTTTATTTTCAGACAGAAAATTACATCTTCCTTCGGGAACATTTATGTAGAAATTACAGTTGATCAACTGTAAAAGCATAGGGAACTTCATCAAATAGTAATACATTCCCTTAAACTTTGGTTAATAAAACACAGTCTGAACAGGATGGAGAAAGAGCCAATAGATCATCCTGTTCTTGTGCCATTTGACTGTTCTATGCACATGGAAATTGGGCCACTTTCTTTATGTTTGTATTGTATAGGAAAAGAAAGTTCATGTCATTTGCTTTATGCAGCATTTATGTGAAAAAAATGAAAGGATTTTGAAAAAAAGAATAGGATTTGATAGAAAACAAACATTCTATTAAAGAAGTAAAAAAAGGCTCATGATATTTAATTGACTTAGAAGCTTCATTTTCAAAAAATATTTAGGCTTTGAAAGGAGTAGTGTCACAAGTGTTAACAGGATTTAAATTCATATAATTTAGTGTTTTGGACTTATTTTACCACATATCATTCCCCCATGTTTTACAAATAAATACTTTTTAAAGTCTGGAATATGTTGCTGTTTTAGTGCTCAGCACTGACATCCCATAAGCTTATTTCAATTCCAGAATCTTTCTAGATTAAGCAAATGTCAAGTCTGCACCATATAGAACATACAAATCCAGTCTGAGGCTTAAATATAAGACAACTGCATAGATTTTTACTGAAATCCCAGAAAAGAGAAACTAGTACTAATCCCACATCCACTTACACAAAGCCTATGAAAACTTGAAAGTCACAAATTAATAATAAAAACCATATTTCTAAATGTCTTCAAAGGACAGAGTAAACAGAAAATTCTCCAAGATCAGAACTGAAAACTGCTGTATATATTGTTACTATAAATATGTGTGAAAGGAAATGTGGTAAATTTTAGTAAGCTTTTTCTATACAGATGATAATGACAAAATGTCTTTTAATTTTTATGTTCCATGTAGAAAATTAATAAAATTGTCATCCTTTACCTTGAAGCACAGGAGAAGTTGTACCAGTAATGATACATCAATGCTATCTTGTACTACATTTCACACCTGATACACCACCTCAGCGTACCAGGTGGTGCTTTTTTTTTTCAATTGCAAAATTGAGCCAAGCCATGTTCAGTTGTTTTAAATAAAAGCCATCAGGTGTTAAGTGGTTTATATGAAACTGATATTACTAAATATAAGCAGAAAAAAGAAAGTATCTAGTCTATAACACATAAGATTTGAAGCTTGCAAAACAAGATCTACCACTTCTTCCAGTCAGTAGCATCCAATTCTTGCAGGAACCTGACTAGTTACTTCTAGCAAATTTGCTTAAACTAGAACATTAGCTGATGATGGAAATATAAGAGAATGCCAAATATTAATTTCACGTAACAGCTTTCTGAAAGATGGGATCCTAATCTGCATCTTGAGACACAGAAGAAAGGGGTGTGAATCATTATGCCCCTCTCTTTTCATTGGCTCTATAAGTGACCCCAAAGATTACGCTCTCCACTTTTTGGCCAGCTAAAGTTATAAGAGATGAATCTTCCTCTGAGCACTAGCCATTCTGAAACAGTGAAAGCATCACAATTATTGCAGCTGGTCTACTTTTTAGCTATTTTTACCTTGCCTTTTCAGTGACTCCCATTTGTTGATGAACATCAATAAATTCCATGAGTTGCCTTTGAAGCACGTTTTCTTTTCCTTCAATTTGCTTAATAAAATCATGCTGCAAAAGAGTAGATACTGTTGGACGCTTCTCATAATCTTTAGTCAAGCACCTGTGCTGGCAGAAAAAGCGTACAATCACTGTGAAGTTTTGAAATGCTTGTCTGTAGTTCATTCATACCTCTGTAATAAATACATTTGTCTTAATCACAACAGCTCTGTACTGAAAATTGTTAAGACTTCACAGAATTAATGAATCCAAGAAGTAACCGCATTTTAAAACAAAATAGTCTTTAAATTAAGAAAAGCAGAAACATTAAGTGTGTCAAAATTTTGTTATTTTGTGTTTTAAATCTGGAGCATCACTTGGAAGTCAAACTTCATGTCATGACATTACAAATGTCATTTTTAGGTTTTTAAGGAAAAGTATTAGTAGCAACAGATTTCCAGAGAGAATACAAAGATATTTCACACATAACATTTACGCATGTTCCATATTCAGCTACAGTGGTCTCAGTTGTTACTCACTTGTTAATGAAGTCATTGAATTCAGGTGACCACAGTTCAGGCTGCTGTAGTGTTGGAGGAGGATTCCTGCAAAGGTCAGTGTGATGATAAGTTAATAAGCTACTCACTTGACAAAAACAGGCTGAGCAATGAGTTTTAGAAGGCCACTGAAAAAAGATATTGATTTCTACTGGTAAAAAAAGCATGGGTAGATGATACAATACCTCACTGGTTCTCCAACTTTACATAACTAACAAGAAGAAATAGCATGGAGATGATCTACTAAGCTTACCTAAGAATCACTATAATTTTTTAAATCAAATCAATAAACTGAAATGAAACTAAAAAAAACCATTAATCACTATTCATTTGTAATGGCAAGTTTCTCTTTTCAAGGCTGAAACAATATACTTTCTTAAGAGAATTTTTAAAAGTAATTTCTATTTTAAGTTTTCCCAGAAGGACTGAATTAATCACGCTGCTGAGCAAAGTGTCAGAAGGAACTAGCTCTTCATTAACTATTTCTCATTCATCAGAAGATAATCAGAAGTGAAGGACTAAATACAGATCATTTATAAATATATACTACTACTTTCTTTTCTGTTATTAGAGCTGTTTATTCTAGGTGTTAATTTGGTGCAAATTGTTTTAACAGTCATCTTCCATTCAAACAGAAGTGCCATTTTCACCGAGTAAAGTCATGAAGACAAAAAAAATCGATCTATAGACGAGGTGACTTTTCTATTTTCAATCAATTGTGATAACTGCTTTTCTTTAATTGCTACTTGATGTTTACTCTACCACTTTCAGGTTTTATTTAATGGAATGAAAGGGTATTGACCTTACATATTTGCTCCAGAGCAGAAAGGTGCCCAGTATTTCTAAGGGTAAAAGCCAGATGTTTTTTGAAGGCCCAGCTGAAATGACTGACCACAGCAGTTTGTAACTGCTTTTCCCATAGTAAGTAAAGGTAAGAAGGGCATTCATGCTCTGCTTCAGTGCCAAGGCAGACAAGATTTCTTAAAAGTGAAGGTAATTTAAATTAATTTGGGTGACTTGGCTGAAAAGGACTTGAAACACTCATGTATCTTATGTGGTCTCAACTGTTGTGGTACTGCTCCAGCTGTTAGAGTGAAATCCACAAACTGCTGTATGATCATCTCCTACATACTTTGAGATTGATGCTCTTTGAAACACTGTAAGTGGCACTTTGGGTACTTTTATCTCCAGCTTCAAAGAAAACACAAAAGAAGTTGCTATTTGCACTGCCCAAGGACAGCAACACTGGAACTGCTAGGACCAGCACAAGCAAATGGAAAGTGGCAGCCTAAATGTATGTGAGTGGTAGAACAATACTTTGCTTCAAAGGACATGAGATAACTCTTGAGGACAGGTATAGGGCCTGTTCTCCACAGTGGCATACTCAGACTCTGCATTTCTATCATAACTCATTCTTTGTAACAGAACACATGGGACTCAGCTAAGTCCTGTGCCCATGTATATCTGGAGCAGCCCACTCCCAAGGCGGCCTTATGGCTTTTTCTTAAATGTAGTCACAGTCAGCTCTGAACTTCTCAATGTGAGCACATGGTTGAAGCAGAGCCTGCAGAAATAAGAGCCGGACAAAATTTTTCTAACCTCTTCCTAGTATAAATAATATGAAGAAACTCCACATACTTATGCAGTCAAATTTTGAAGAAAGTAACAGTTAAGGAAAACGTTTAGTCTACTCCTGCAAGAAATAAACACATCAAGATATTACCTTGGTATTTTGAAGAGTGCCCTCATAGGATGCAAATCAGCAAGGGGTGGATCTCCATCTCCCAACTCTATTGCAGTAATCCCAAGTGACCATGCATCACATCTGGCATCATAGGAGCTATCAAGCTGCTGCTCACAGGCAATCACCTGTTGGAATAAAAGACTGGGATGGTCATTGGGTGGTCAAACTTCTGAACTTAAGAGTACACCCACAGTTGGGAGAATCTCTTACAGAATGGAGATACTGGCTGAAATAAACAGACTTGCACACATTTAGAAAGCATTTAGCACCAGGTTCTCTGACCAGATGTTCCCTGATCTGACAAAAGGGTGCAAATCATTGGCTTTGTCAACTGAAGGCGGTAAACTGCATCCCATGGATGAGGGAAGTAGCAGGAAACTCAGCAACCCTAAACCTCTTTCCTATGGTTTAGTCCTGCAAAATCACTAATGGACCTATACTGCTCTATGAAGTGAAACAGGCAGGAAAGCAGAAGTTGAATTCACTACCTCCTACTGGGTTCTTATTCTACCAAATCAGCCAATTTCAAGATCAAGGTAATTTCTTGCCAAGGTGTTTGCCACTGGATTATAGCAAATGTATTTAATTTCATACACGTTTCAGCTCATCCACGATACCGGATGAATCTAGATTTTTTTCCTCCCACTAGCTACAGGTCTAAGCCAATGTGTATAAACAGAGTATGTTTATAAAAACACTCATGTATAAACAGAGCAGTTTCATTCATGTGCTATAAACAAATGTATATGACTGTGTTTGTGTGCATGCAAATAGTGTGAGCACATAGGCTTATTTGTAATGAATTATTTTTCCTGCCTTGTCTTAAAATGTACATTTACATGCTTCCATTTCAGGCTGGAAAAATCTCCAAAGATACATACTACATCTTACTTATTCATAATAACGTCTTCCATTTCTTACTCTCAGCTATGGATATACAGTAGTAAAAACTTTCCAGGTACAGAAATTGAAAAAGAAAACCTGTAATGTATCACAGCACCACCCTGGGCTCCTTCCATCAGCAGTTTCATTCATGTGCTATAAACAAATGTATATGACTGTGTTTGTGTGCATGCAAATAGTGTGAGCACATAGGCTTATTTGTAATGAATTATTTTTCCTGCCTTGTCTTAAAATGTACATTTACATGCTTCCATTTCACACTGGAAAAATCTCCAAAGATACATACTACATCTTACTTATTCATAATAACGTCTTCCATTTCTTACTCTCAGCTATGGATATACAGTAGTAAAAACTTTCCAGGTGTAGAAATCGAAAAAGAAAACCTGTAATTATCACAGCACCACCCTGGGCTCCTTCCATCTGTGGGGAGATGAGATACCCATAGTTTCAGAGCTTGGAAAACTGGAAAGGATCAACAGTATAGTACTCTCTCCTCTATAACATTTTAATAAGTAATTCAACGTCTTTCTCTCTGGCTCTAACTTTGTAGTTTCAAAAATAAACCCCATTTTAACTTAATCCTTGCGAACATGTAAGAACAAAGGTTTAAAACACTTTTTTAAAGGACATTGCTATTTCATTTGGCAAAAGGTCCAATGGTCAGGAAGAAAGATAAAGAGCAGAAATGCAGAATGTTGCAGCTTGAAAACTGCCAACAAAATGTTTGGAAATATGAATCTGACCTCTGGAGCCATCCAGAACGGGGTGCCCACGGAGGTGTTCCGACGGAGACGAGTGCTGGTCAGCTGAGCAGACACACCTGGAAGAACGAAGGGAAGCTATAACCAGAGCAACTGCTATTTCCATCCAAGACAGTCCTTCTGAATGGTGCCATCCCTGCCTTGTCATGCTACGACCTCCTCTGCAGGCGAAGCTCAAATATATCTTTCCCATTCTCTGGAAAGAGAAGACCAGTCTTCAAAGGTACTCAGCACTTCAGCTGAGGTTCTTCACATCTGTTGTTTCCAGTGTCTTCAGTAGGACCGGGGTTTAGTCCTAAATGAGCGTTCCATTAGCAATCTGACTCCATATATTTTGACTGGCTAATTACAGTTTTTCTATATCCTGTTCTACCTGAAGAGCCGTAAAGCACTTCAAGAGGGGAAGAAAAAGTACTGTACTTTCCACAGTTTCTTTTTTTCCTTTAATGCTCAGTACTGACACTAAAACTCTGTTTCATTATTTATATATTTCAGGTTGAACACTATAAAAGATACTTATCCTCATCTCTTAGCTGTTCTGCCATAAAAAAGAAACAACAAAACAGTGAAACCACAAAAATTCTTACAAAACCAGAAGTCTCTCCATGCTCAAAGCATATTCTCCAAGCAACATCAAATGCGGGCAAATCAGCTTTGCAACACGAGCCGCAGTTTAAGGAATTAACTATTTCAGACCAAGAGCTGGAAAGTGAACTCTGAAATCTAAGGATTCCTTACGGTTTTAAATTAAAACGTGCTGAAATATTAGGAACTTGAGTGGGCTGCAGCACACCAGCCTGCCACCGATTCCCTGCCTTACAAAACAAGGGTGTATTGGTTGGAAACACCTGGAATGTCTGCAAAGGAGGAAGTAGAACACATGGAGAGAAACAGCCCCTCAGATAGTGTGTCCTGAACTATTATGGATTGATGAACCACAATCACCTCTGAGGTCCACACGTGGAAAAAAAAAACAGTCCCTCCACTAGCAAGTCCTGAACTATTATGGGTTTGTGAGTCATAGCCAAGTGTGAGGTCCACCAGAGGCATATTCTGAAGTGCTGATATCATGAATTGCAAGAAAGGTGCTGTGTTCTACTTCTGTTCCAAAATCAGTCTGATTGACACTGAAGCTCATTTATTTTGCCTTTACACATACATTCACTTTTTCTTTAAAAAAGCAAAAAGCCTCAGTTTCACTCTGAAATACACAAAGCTCCAGTGAGCACCACTGGCCAGTTTCAGCTCTGTACTGTCTGGTTTGAACAGGCTTCACCTTACCTTCTTGAAAACCCTGCAGATAGTCCATAACAGGAGCAATTCACATTAACTGCCCAGTGGAAATACTAACTACACAGAATTTGACTGTCTACATAGACTTTGACTAGGTGTTAGATTTTTTTTTCAGCAGCTGTCAAAGTCAAGAAACCATAGAAGGCTCAATCTGGTGGTTTTTTTTTAAACTCTAAAGCCATGTATTCAGCTCTGATTCACAAAATGTCTGCATTTGTCAATTGCAGAAACATATATAACTGCTGAAAATAAAGCAGCAAGAAAGATCCTGCCTGTTCCTCTGAGACAAACACAACCATTGCTGTCATCTTTAAGGTCCCTTCCAACTTAGACGATTCCTCTCGTCTTAGATGATTCCCTCTCGTCTACCCCAGGCTTGAGAAAGTTGAACCTCTCTCCGTGCCTGCAGAAAGTCCAATACATGGCGTTTGCACCAGAGAAAGCAGGACAACGTGAGTCTTAGCACAAAGTCCATCAATCCTGCTTCAGCTCAGCTAAGCAGGGGCTTTGTTTTTGCTGCCTCAAGGAGTTGTCTGAGGTCCAGCTTCCGGCTCATGGACTCTGTGGCTGTTCCAAGCCCCCAGCAAAACATGTCATTCAGAAAGCAAGGAGTAAGCACACATCACCACAGGTCTGTCACCGTTACAGTGATGGGTTTTGGAGGGAGAGGAGACTACTCTTCCCTCTCCCTTTCTATGTGTTGTGGGAGTCCCCTGTGCTAAGCGGTTTTTTGCAGCCTTGGATGAGGAAACAGGATTCAGATCTGCAGGCGAAGACAGGCACTAACCAAATTTTTATGATTCCCAATGTCAGATTTTATAAATAATCATAACTTTCTGTAGAGATAACGAACAAAATATAAAAGGAACATTAATGTGCACAAGCTTCTCTGTCTATGCACTGTTGTTTTTTTCCTCTTTGAACTGTAATTATTAAATAAACTGAAGGATTTTTTTTCCTCTTCCCCCTTTTTTTACTTCAATAAAAAGCTCATTTAATTTGAATTGTTCACTACTACTTTCTTTAGGCTCTTGGGTTTTTTTATGTGCTTTTTGTTTGTTTGTTTTCTTATCCTTTTGCTCTTAGCAGTAAAGTGGCATTTCAGATTATGAAGTGTAGGTCTTATGACAAATGATATTTCCTTGGGCTTTTTCTGTGTATAGAGGAAAGATGATGTAATTCCACACTTAGTAACATTTCTTCCAGCATTTCAGTAACCAGTCAAGCATATAGCAGGCCAGCTTTTTTTAACTTGTATATTTTCTAACAAAAACATCTTGCTCCTCCCCCTTCACTACTGATTTGCTGCACAATGAGTCAAATATTCTCCTAAGAAAATCTAAAAATATGTCATAAAATGGTGGTTTATTACATACAAACTATAAATCTTACGAAGGTGAAGAGCTTAATAAGTGCATTAATAGTACCAATACACACCACACCTAAAAGAAAACATTGTGCGCATAGTTAAAAAAAGGCTTTTTTCTTTGTTTTTTTTCTTTACTCAGGCATTTACTAATAAAAACTGGAAATTAGCAGGCATACACCATGCATGTTATTCAAGCTTTTCATTGCAAAACCAGACATATTGGAATAACACTGAAAGTAAAGCCACCTACTTATGACCTTAGCACTCAAAAAAAAAAACCAAGCCAAAAAAAAAAAACAGTGCAGAAATGAGCTCCCTATTATTAGGAAAGATTTGTCTCATAGTACCACTCAATCTCAGCAGACACTGTTCTGATCTAAATTGGGAGGCTGTACAACACCGTTTTATGATTACGACCTGTGACAGAAGTATGCACATTTAACTGGTTGATGCTAACGGGGGAATGGAGCGTCCTACCAAATTCTACTAAATTCACATTTGGCATGCAGCAGGGAGACTGCATTCCCAACACACTAGCCACCGTATTCATAAATAAAAACACAGACCCTACCCGAAGGGCTCACACACTGCCTCTGGCTACCTCTTCCATAACCCTTCTTCATTTGTGCCTTCAGTGCCCACTTCCCTACCAAAGCATCCTTTTTGTGACCTTCTTTGGTCACCTTCTGCAACTCAGATCATTCCTCAAGCTAGTCTCCGGACCAGAAACTGCTCACGCTGTTAACCTTGCAGATCTAAACAGGCTGAAACACTTTAAATTATTTCCCAACATTTTTTTAATCTTCTAGAGAGACAGATGTAAAACAGCAGCAGCATTTTACACTGCATTCCCCTTAAGCCTGCTGGCAGATATGTTTTGGCATTCCTGTTCCATGCTGTTTGCTGCAAAAAGTGGCCTCTCCTTCCTTGCCTCTCTGTCCGATGGTGTGAGGGCAGTCCCTCATAAATCCCTCAACTCCACCTTTTTACTAGATCTGGAGGAAATAGGTCCTCGTGCTTTAGGGCTTTCCTTTAGCACTCTAAGCTTCACTTTGAAAAGTTGCTGCCATTCTTGACAAGATCAGCTGAAATGCTAAAAAAATAATACACATAATTCCTTCATACTCCATAATGATGAAAAACAACAGGGAAAGAATGAGATTAAAACAAAGAAATTCTGATAGTCCAAATGGCAAATGTGACAACACACCAGGTGTGCAACTGTATTGCAAGTATGGTGGTATCTTCACTAAGACTGTAAAAGGAGATCAGAGAGCTTCCCTCAGGTTTAATTACTTAGCATGGACAGAAAGCATAAATATATTTAATAGAAAATGTTACTAACAGGCTGTAAAGACACAAGTGGTTGGATAATGACTTTACACGAGATGTTTCAGAACCTTTTTGAAACAATGTCAATAGTCAGAATTCCTTAAAGACTGTCAACTGACCTCAAAAGCAAACTCCTAAATGACAAGCGCACAGAGGCAGTATTGTTTCCTTGGGTGAGCTCTTGAGAGAAAAGCATGGTTGAGAACTTCTGCTCAGTGATAAGCACTCAAATTAAATCTAGAACTCAAACTGGGTTCTGACCAATAAGATGGAAATAAAGAAATAAGAAACAAAGTTGAAATGAGGAGCCAAAAAATTAGAATTTTCAACAGCATTTTATGCTGAAAGCTGTTATGTTAGGTTCTAATGAAGCATAACTTCCTTTTCATAAATCCCGAAACTAAGTTGAAATGGGGAGCCAAAAAATTAGAATTTTCATCAGCATTTCATGCTGAAAGATGCTATGTGTAGGTTATAATGAAGCATAACTTCCTTTTCATAAATCCATGCTGCTTACTTCCAACCACCTTTCTGTCCTTCCTATGTTTGGAAACTACTTCCAGGATTATACGCTCCATCCTCTTCCCAGGGATCTCAAAGTGGAGTTGACCAGCCTGCAGTTCCCTGAATCTTCTTTCTTGCAGATAGGAGTGACAATAACTTTCTTCCAGCCATCAGGAACCTCCTCCAATCTCCAAGACCTTTCAAAGATTATCAACAGTGGCCTTGCAATGACATCGGCCAGCTCCTTCAGCACTCTTGAGTACATCCCATCAGGTCCCAGGGACTTGTGTATGTCCAATTCATTTAAATGCTGCCTAACTTGATCCTCCTCTACTGAGGGTAAGTTTTCCTTGCTTCAGACTTTACCACTGGTCTCAGGGATTTGGGGTTCCTGAAGGGCAGTCATACAAGTAAAGACTGTGGCAAAGAAGACACTGAGTGCCATAGACTTTTCCATGTCCTTTGTCACCACATCCCCCATCTTTATGTATTATTTTAATGCATATACTGTTTTAATGATTGGGGTAGTCGTACAAGTAAAGACTGCGGCAAAGAAGACAT